ACGAGCCACAATTTCAAACAAGAGACGAACCAAACTTTAAATAACAAACGAACCCCAATTTAAACAACAAGCGAACCACAATTTTAAACAGGAGACGAACCAAACCTTGAATACCAAGCAAACCACAAATAGCAACCGAACCATCCATAAATATACCTTTTCTCACAGTTCACTGCTGTTTTGCATCCAATTTCAAGCGAGTCGGTTGTGCCATTCGAATGTTAAGTGGCCTCCTTGGGCCCAGAAGACCGCGGCTGTGGGGTTTACAAGAAATGCTGTTTGCTCATTCCCTCCTGCCGTGAATGAACCACGTCCACGGTTCAACTTTGGAAATGGTCATGCAGACAATGAACTTCGGACTAAGTGCGAAAACTAGGTCCAACAACTTCTATACAAAGAAAGGACACTGCGACCACACAAAAGGCCACACCACCTTGGTCTTCATACCTTCACACACAATCTTACACAATCTTTCACTAATGCATTAGTCAACAAACAATTTGTTCGTATTTCCCTTCAGTGGAAATGTCTCAATAGTTGGTATAGCCACATTTTACCTTAATCACTGCTTTCGCACTGTCTGGCCTCGATTCTACAAGTCGTTTGCGGAATTTGAGAGCCCATATTATCAGAGCACCGCTAAAGACAAATTCTGAGAATATTTCGTTTTTCACAATATCTTTCAATTTTTACCTCTTCCAATTTTCCCAAATATTTTCAATAGGGTTTAGTCACGGTGACTGTAGAGGGAAGGCCATCCAAGTTTGCAATCCTTGCGCATCCTTTGACCTCGAATATGCCTAGGACCGCTTCGATAAATGTTTCGGATCATTTTTCTGTCAGAGAGACTAGCGCGCCTCTGCGGAATGGAGTGTTACTTCTCTTTCGGCGATATGCAGGCTAGGGCATCGTATACGAAGAAAAGTTGGGTTTCGAGGCCTCACTTATTTCATAATTGTTGAGCTTATTTCCATTTCGAGTGATAGTGTTGCGTGGAGAGATTCAAGCTCGGTTCCACCAGAAGACGACCAGCAACGGATTCCTCTTGACCAGCTGTCGATTGGCTTTACTGGAACATTCATACTGACGCTGTTTCCAAAGCAATCTCCTTCGATTCCGGTGGAAAGGTGCTGAGCTTTCGTGCGTAATGTGATGAACATCATTAGAGCATGGAGGGTATCATCGTCACAACCAAATTGAAGCTAACGAGTCAAGAAAACTGACCGGAAAATCCATAAAAAGTGGTATATCTACTCTACGTCTGACCTCTTTGATCAAGTATAACTAACCAAATCACTTTAAACTTGATCAAAGTGGTCAGATGTAGAGTAGATATACCACTTTTTAGGGATTTGCCGGTCAGTTTTCTTGACTCGTTAGCTTCAATTTTGTTGTAACGATGTTACCTCGCTCTGATGATGTCCGTCACCTTTTCACCGGAATCGAGTGAGATTGCTTTGGAAACAGCGTCAGCATGAATGTTCCAGTAAAGCCAATCGACAGCTGGTCAAGAGGAATGGACCTTCGTCTTCTGGTGGAATCTCTTCAGCACACACTTTCACTTTGAATGGAAATAAGCTCATCAACAGAGCATCGTAAGACCAGTAGAAAAAGCCAACTTCATTGCGAGATGAAACAGCATCTGCATCCAAGATTCAAAGCCAAATGCAAATTACAACTGGTTTGACATGAGCTTGACAAAACCGAAATTTGACTAATGAAGACTGGAAAAAAGGCCCATGAAGCTCGTTGTTTGCTAGTCGCCGTTTCGACCATCATTTTCCCAACTAGAATAGGGCTCTCTTTGTTCGGCTGCTTTCGGTCTTGGATGCAGATGCTGTGACAAAATCTTCTTCTTTTGGTGCTCCACTTTTTCCAGCAAATGGATGCCTAAAGCGACTTTCATTCGGCTGGACTACAATATTTTCTTCAAGGACCTTTTTGACGCTGCCCACCTCTTCTCTTTTGAGTTGGTCAGAGCGAAAAAGAGGCAGGAGAAGAGACGTACTGGCGATACCAACACGCCCTCGAAGTCATATTCAACAGTTTCTTCTCGCGATATTCCATTCTTGACAAAACATGACGGCAGCAGCGCCCAGGACCTCTCCAGAACCATTCCAGATTATCCGTCAGGCTTTACTCTTCTGCAACATCGGGCCAATCTCGATTTAGCGAAACCAAAATCTGAGAATGCCATTGAAATGTGAGAAGGTGTTGAGATATTCCATTCTGATCCACTGTTTACACTCAACCAGAATAGGACGGTTTTGTCGGAGCTTCATTTCTGCGATGGTCTGTCCAAAAGTCCCTTGCCAACACTGGCCTGAAAGCAAAAAAATTTTGGCGCCAGACACAATTGAACGCGAAGATGAAAGTGAGCTTTTGCAAATAGCAACATTCATCCAAGAATGTTCGAAGCACACATTTGCATTATAATCCCAATTATCCCACAGTTTATATGCTTGCAAACGGAATCCCTTTTACGGGCACTATCAAAGTTGGCACTCCAATTGACGAATCTGTCCTCAAAGAAATGTGAAATGTTTCCAGAACTACCATCCAAGTTCTATTTTGCTTCTTCAACGTCTCGATCGAGACACTACATGGACCGATGAACTCATTGTCAATATTGTTGAAGACTGTCAACTATCAGCACCAAAAGTATCGAAATGACTCAACATGCTATTCAAGAAATCGGGTTCGTCAGCTTCATGTCTCGTCAGAAGACAACTGCTTGTTGGCAATTTGTCCACTGACCCCTCCATAAATCATATATGCTCCTTATCATCTTGCAGAGATAACCATATTCTCTGGAAGGCAGCGGGCGAAATGCTCAGCTCTTCTAAGAAGTGTGAATATGACGAAGGAGGCATAAGACGAGCTATGACATTTGCATTAAATTCGTAGAACTAGTGGACCAGTTTTAGTGCATACA